AAACTTGTCGTACTCTGCTAGATCGCGACACTATTCCGAATATCCCAGGACGTTGTGCTCTAATTACTTCCGCGACAACCGAATCGATTCAAAAACTTATCGCACTCTTCTAGAGCGCAGCACTATTTTGAATTTCCAAACTGTTGTATCCTTGATGTTTTAATTCGTTAATGTAACCGTATAGGTAGCGTTACCTAGCGTATGAATGCAACAATGGATAAGTCCGCTATGTGCAAGAGTACTAGCACGGGAAGGACTAAAATTTTCTTGAAATAAATAAATATTTCTGACATCGTCTTAATTGTTGACAATAATATTCAATGAATAATTTTATTGAAGTCGTATATGTCAGTCATACATGAAGTGATACAAGTCCGAAATTGAAAAAGAAAATGTTACAATGTTTAACTTCTCACTTTGCTTATACGTATGGTCGATCGCACTCTTGGAATATAGTACTGAGTTAGCATAATTGTTGGAAGACTGAATTGACAACTGACCAACTGAACTCTTAACAAACTTTTATCTGAACTACGACTTGACAAAATTTCAACTGGACCCTTATACATTTTAACGGAACTGCTTAAACTGTTAACTGAACTAAACTCTTCCAAATTTTGAACTGAGCTGCACTTGACTTTCTCAACAAAACTTCGACTGACTGGATTGGGCTTTATAACTAAACTGAATGACTGACTCAATAACTAAAAACTGACTTTAACTGACTGACTTTTAAACTGAAACCCAGTTGACTGAACTACTCTTTGACAATTTTTACTGAACTGTTACAAAATTTTTATTGAACTCCCTGTCTCTAAATGGCTACATTTATTTTTATAATGAGACTATCATGGCCAAATGTCACATGACGGATTATTCCATGATAGCGCAGAGTTTTGGTACGTGATTTCATCTGCGGACGCTGGAATCTTTCGTTCTACTGGTGTCCTTTCAGAAATATTAGTATTTCAACTGATGTAGTTTTCGTGGAATTATTATTGAAGTCACCCTTTTTTAGAAGTCCTTGTTGCTACATTCTTCATGCAGTATTAGTTTCAGCTAATGGCAGGTCGTACTCTGCTAAACACGTGGTCATCTTGTTGATGTCAATACTTCATACTTTGGCGCGTGTGTTTGTTTGCCGCTGCAAATGCTGTGTGAGAGGATCGCAGCATCTCAGCTTCTATTATCTGCTTATTGCACTGTGTATTGTGGTGGGAGGGCGCGCGCAATGCGGCGCGTATCAGTGGACATCTTATTGTTTCTTATTTCTATTTCGATATTCTTAGATTTTAAATCTGTTCAACAATAATGTTGTGTACTTGCTTATTGATTTATTACAATATTAAAGTATTTGTATGTGCCATATTTCTTATTTCCCTTAATTTTTGTGTTTTTAATTCCATTTGCCTAGAGTTGAGGTTCGCGCAATTCGCGATTTACGACGCATTTCTTTCACTGTGACAGTAGAGCTGGTTCATTCGCTTTTCCGATACCGTTTTATCGAAGAGAAGTACATTCATCGTTTGTTGTATGTTGCGTATAGTATATAGTATATCGAGTATGAAAGTATTAATTGTAAATTTTAATATTTTAAGAATTTGTTAAAACCGAAAATATTTTGTTTTAGTAGTTAGAGCGTAAGGAATATTTTGAGATTATGTGTTACGTTAACGTATCATGTACCGTATACCGGCTATGCATCGGGCAACGAGGCTCGTTTAATCAGTCAAGGATTGTCAGAATAGAGTAGAATTCTCGCGTCGAACAGGAGTGAGTTTGATTGTATTTAAGTTAAGTTCGCTCGTTATGTGTCTCGATTTTTAATAATGCAGCCTCTCTTAAGCAATTAACATTCATCGTCTGATAACTATAGCTGTGGGCTATGACAATATCGCTTTCCTAACGGATTAATGAAAGCACAAGCGAAAACCTCGGTGTACGCATGATTTTCACGTGATTCTTGTGAAATGCACGGAACTCTTCTCCGTGCAACATTCTCCTCTTTCTTTTTCTTCTTTGAGAGATGTAGTTAAAGGCAAAGCAGACAAGGAAAAGGAAAATAATGAAGGAGAATTCCATCGCAAGGAAATCTTTTGAAACAGTGTAAGGTCTCCACGAAAATTCAGAGTTCGTGAAATGAAAGGAAGGAAATAGGCACTGAAAGAACTAATTAAGAGTCTTGATGAGTTACCGCGCAACAAGTAAGATGATGCTTGCAGGATGTTCAGTATCAAAATATTTAATATAGATTGCTGTGTGAACGATGGAACGTCAGCAATGATTGCAACGTAACGTTGTATAACCTAGCCGGGAATTAAATTGTAGGGAGTTTAGTTAACACGGAAAGTATTTTAATACAATTCGCGTACTTCCACGAAAACCAGAGACTTTCTTATTCGATACATCGTCAATGTATAAATTTCTCGTTATCAATGCCGTTTTCTTCGTTATACTAATTCAAGTAGCATCGTAGATAACAAAAAATTGGATGGTTAATGCACGCGTTAACATCAGAATAGAATAAACTTTTTATTCGCCATATCAGACACGGTTCATCGAATAAAACACAATAGGAACAAAAACAGAATACTTGCGGATCGGTCGATACCATTTTATCATTTACTTACCGCAACGATTGTTCTTTAGATCTCGAGAGGGCAGACTACTAAGCAGAGAGAGAGAGAGAGCAAACTGCTAATGATTGATCTTATCGTGGACGAGTGGCGTCCTAATACTTGTGACGGAAGAATAAATGCCACGCGCAAAAGGTAAGACAGAGAAGGTAGACAAAAGAAAACGATGTCTACGACGATTCTCAACGGGATGTGAAAGCATGTTGTGGATACATACGGCGTGTGTACATGTACGGGAAGGAAATTACGTGCCGGAATCACTATAACGTGACTCTAGACCTTTGCATCTGTGGAAATTTGTTAAAAGGGGATGCTGCAAACTTGACCTTGGAATTCAAATCTTTTTCTACTTGCATGGAACCGGAGTTCATGGAACGGAGTTCACTTGAAAATGTAACTTTCAATAGCTTTTGCATCTATTTTATCTTTGATGTGCTTTATAATGTTATTTCATAGTTCAATAGCTGTGCCATGTTTCTGATAACTCACTGCAGCTCGTAAAGAATACTTCAATAGTGATATATTGTTCTGTTGCTGATATCCGCATCATCAGCTGCCTAGTGTTATGATGCAAATTATTTATATTTGAACGATATTCGACGCAAATAGTTAATAATTTCCCTCTTAATTTACTGTTACACACAGTAATGAAATTTTAGTTTTTCGTTGATACGAGAATGCGCAGTATTACCTCTTGGTCACCAAATCGTTGGTCTAGCCGATCGCATCAATCTGGACTTTCTATTTAATAGTGACCCTCTACTATTCCCTGAGCTATTGCGTAGCTTTTTGTTGTTTTATCAACAATGCTCATATTATAGTCAATAACATAATATTTATATTGTATATTTCCTTTGTGAATATATTCATATCATAAGTAAAATAGCTGCAAGTACTACTGAAACGTTAACATCATTATTAAGAAAAACGATTGAATTTTGACCTATGGTTCTCTTGATAAAGGTGGTCCTCGTAGCGATTGGAATACAATGCGACCAAGTTTGACCTTGAATTTCAAATCTGTACCGATTCAGAGGTATAGAGTCACGCTACGATGATTGCGACATATAATTTCCGAGGGTGCATCTCTTCCAAGTGTCTGGGCGATGTCTAAAAGAAGAAGAGAAATAATGATAACAAGATACAGGAGGATAAATGTGCATTCAACGTGATTGGTGTAGCGCCGCAATGCTGTCACTGGAGGTTGCCTACAGAGGCCTGTATGCGTATGCAACCTCCGATTGTACACTGCCTCTCGCCAGATCTCACATCCACTCCCTGTCGCTCGCTGTGTTTTCCAGAGAATGATTAAATAATGTTCTCTACTTTCCTTTTGCAGCTATCAGCTTGATGAAATTACTAACTACGTAAAAAGGTAAGATTTAAAAGTGCACGAACGTTTAAAGGGAGGAACATTCGGAGCTAATGATTGCCAGAAGTGATTTCTACCGATTTCTACCGTGATACTCCCTTACCGCGAACATCGTGGCTTAAGAATATCACTGTAATGATTTTATGAACATTCGAAAATTCATGAACGACCTTCTGCGGCAAATAATTCAATCGCATTAAATCCGTAAATGGACAATTGATTGACGGGTTATGAATCGGCAGCCGTAATGCTTTTTCTTCATATCTGAGTATATCTGTAAAAGAAATAGAACGGCGAAAGTCTATTTTAATCGCGCTCGATTCTTCTATAATCCGCTATGTAGAAAATTCGATTGGAAACATTCGCGACCAGCTACGTTTCTAATCAATTATTTTCAATCAGAGCTCGCGAGCGAGTCTAAATTTATTGTGTAGCGACATTTTTCTCCAACGTGCGTGGTCATTTGAAATTCGAAGAAATTTACCACTCAGCCGAATAACGAGCCGAAACCAAAGTAATTTATCGCGCTTTTAACATGTACTCGTTGATTTATTTATTAGAATATTTATTAGATATGTGGTAAAAAAACGCGCTTCTCAATATTTCATACATAGATGGAGATTAAGTTTTTTAATCGGACAAACGTTCAACACCGACGATGCGCGATGCGTTAAAAATTGTAATGTATAATTAATCACTTTGTTTTAAACAATAGTGATCGTATTAACAGGATTTTGCATTTAATATCAGCGTAGTTTTGCCATTTTTTGCGAAAATAATTATAGAAGTTCACTACTTGTGACGCTGGAGGATCGTTATATTTTCATAAGAGCTGCACGAAAGCGTCGGAAGTTTATTGTCTATGAATCGTGAACTAGCGACAAATAATTCTACATAGATACGGAAAAATCACTAGAAGAAAACATCGAAGTAAATTTAAAAGAAGGATAAAGGAAATTATACAATTATAAAATTAAAATCATAAAGTCTAGATTATAGGATACAATAAGATTTATTGCGAGTTAGATCGCTTCTACATTAATAACACTTCATTGACACTTCAGCAATGCTAAAACCGTGCAAAGAAATGCAAATCAAACATACTCATCCTTTGACCAAAATATATTAGGAGTAGTATACATGACAGTAGCAGATGCAGGAATAGTTATCGAATTTGTGAAGACGGTGGTACCTGGGCGAAGATTGGGACCAACGCTGACGGTATGAACTATCAGAGTAGGAGAAAGTGGCAGGGCAGCTCTAGCATTTACGGTGACAGGTACATTGGCAAAATTAAACATAACAATTACAGTGTCATTTCCTAGAGTGCGAGTAATACTCAAAACCCTTTGGTCGTATACGGTAACGTTTAAGGAACCGTGTGCGATGACTGGTCGCCTTTTCACGCTCATCACACTTTTGAATACCTGGTAGTGAGAGTAATATAGCTCCTTCTGAGCTTCCAGGTTCAGGGTCTTGTAATTTGGATGCACGGGCAGCCAGGTTTTCGCACTGGTGGAGAATCCAGCACTGGTGCTGTTGTCCCATTGGTACGGTGTTCTTTCGGGATCTCTGGATTTCAGAAAGTATCTGGCGGGACCAGCGTTGCAACCAGCTGGATCAACAGTTTCGGCGTACGTGAATTGTCTGTCTATCATTCCGATTTCATCACCGTTGTAAACAACCGCTATGCCAGGTAGGATCAGCGCCATTTCGGTAATCTCATCAGCTCGTCGTCTTCCGAATCTAGAGGCCACACGATGATTATCGTGATTGCCCACGACCCAGTTCGGCACGCTACCCTGAGGCACGGTATTGACCCACTTGTCTATCAGATTTTTATAGTCCATTGCGGTAGATTTGTTGTTCAGTTCTGTAATAAACATAAAGTTGAAGGGAACATTGGAGCCAGCACTGTAGAATTTAGTGGTTAGGTCATGAGTAGTATAGGCTTCCGTGAGAATCAACTTTGGATCGGATCGGGTACGGTTGGAGTGTTCATCCATCAGTTCCCTCCAGCTCCGGAGCGTCTCGTAGGTCTCATTCTGATCTTTCGTGTAAATATGCACCAGGCTATCGTAATCGTCTTTAGGGACATCGGTCCTGTTTGCGCTCGGCTCGTCGCGGAACTTGGCATCCTCGAACATATGATTGATAGCGTCAATGCGGAAACCGTCGACTCCGCGATTCATCCAGAAAGTCAACACGTTTTTCATTTCCTGATCTAAAGCCTGACTGCGATAATTCAAATCTGGCTGACCTGCAGCAAACTGATGTAGGTAATACTGCTTGCGGACGTCGTTCCACTGCCAGGCAGATCCCTGGAAGTTGCTCAGCCAGTTGTTTGGCGGCAGTCTGGTGCCATTTACGATTCTGCCATCGTGCCAGACGTAGTATTCATCGTACGGCTTGATCCTTTGAATACTCTTTTTGAACCAGGGATGATCGTTAGAGCTATGATTAGGCACGAAGTCCATGACCACTTTGAGCCCGAGGGACTTAGCTTTAGTTACCAATTTGTCGAAATCCGCTAAAGTTCCATAATCTGGATCAATGTCCGTAAAGTTGGAGATGTCGTAACCGAAATCAACTTGTGGACTCTTATAGATCGGCGATAGCCAGACGACCTTAGCACCAATGTCCTTAACGTGTTCCAGTTTGCTGGTGATACCATTCAGGTCACCGATACCATCTCCATTGCTGTCTTTGAAACTCCTCGGATAGACTTGGTACACGATGATATTTTTGTACCAATCCACATCCACTCCCGCGCTTAGCGCGAATAGCAAGGAACACGTTACAATCGTTAGTCGAAACATGATGGATTACTGAACCAAGAGAAACACGGTCGACTATTTATAAAACGCAACGTTATTGATTATCTGTTTACATGTATGCTTCAATTATCTGTTTATTAAATTTCTTTCACTCAGTTAATAAAAGATAAGTTCGTTTCGAATAAGTGTAATGATAACGAAAAGATAGTTAGGTACTCGAATACTATCATGCACCGTGTATCAATTTATATTTTGTTATCTGATGTTTCTTTGGAAAGAAATTTTTTATATCAAAATTGTTTTTTTCACATTCGATAGTTTAAACAAACTGACTGCTCGCGAGGGATCGCAAGTTTTTTCTATAAGCGGAGTATATTGTACGAAACACAACTTCTGTTAAAATTCGTCGAAGTATAGAGCCACTCAAGAGACGGTTAACTCTTAGAATCGCATGATCTCGTGTGTACAAGGCGTTTATATATGCCAATCTAGTTTCTATCGTTCTCCGACTAATTATATGGCCAACTGCACTCGTGCAAATCATTTACCTACTTTCTTTTCATCGAGGCTAATTATTTAATAATAATAATAATAATAATAATAATAATAATAATAAGAATAAGTTTGACGAATAATAAGTTTAACGATTAATAAGATTAACGAATAATAAGTTTAACGAATAATGAGTTTAATGAACGCTATTAACAATGTTCTTAGGTTCAAATGAATCCGCGGTCAACGGGATAACTCTTTACTATGCGTAGAGTAATTTTAGGCACAAAATACGATTACTGAGACGCTCCGTATAAACTGCTCGATGTGTCACTCTCCAAGGCGATCGCACGAATAATAAATTGATGGAAATTTTCCTCGCTGTACGAGTGCATTTGTTTGTTATATACTCGTTGGAAGCATCTCCAAACGCCGTTACTAGGCAGTTTCTGTCTGAAGATTGATTCCTAATACAACGTGTGTCCCATTATATCGTTTCCTGGAGTTTGATCATTAATACAACATGTGTCCCATTATATTGACACCTCCGAGGTACAATCCCATATGGCTAGGCCCGTTCTTAAAGCCGTATGCCGCCACAACCACATTTCTAGGGAGAACCATACAACCACTCCACACCGCCGTCAGGCAAAACGTTCATTCCGTGACCTACGTTCGGCGACCAGTTGTCACCTCGAGTCCAATTTCGCTATCACAGCCGTCAGGCAAAACGTTCATTCCGTGACCTACGTTCGGCGACCAGTTGTCACCTCGAGTCCAATTTCGCTATCACAAATCTCGAACAATTACAATCAGATTGAATAGCAACAATTGCTTAATTACAGCTATGATAAAATCTAGATTACAATGTTGCGAAATTATCCAACATTCCAAAGGCTGCGGTGTTCTTTCATCTCTGCCATATATATATGTCGGGTTCACATTATGATTAGGGTTAGGGGCGTGTAACAAATTTTCATTTAGATTAGACATTGTTGTTATGCAATAGAGAAGATATTTACAAGTACAAATATGATTATTATAGAATTGGACAAGTAACCGTGGTAATTAGATACAACATTATTGTTATGCAATAGAGAAGATATTTACAAGTATAAATATGATTATTATAGAATTGGACAAGTAACCGTGGTAATTAGATACTCGAGAAACTAATGACAATGATCCTAGGTTCAATAACGAATCCGCGGTCAACGGGATGATAGATGTACGCGCTCACAAAATCTAAGTCGGACTCTTTGTTAATAAAACGCGTAACATTCAGTGGTCGTAAGGCGTTACTCTTTGTCCGTCTGGCCGTAAGGCGTTACTCTTTTCGTCGATGAGATCGCAACAAGGAATGAATTTCCGTGTGCATGATGCCACAGAGGAAAACTATATGGGGTGTGTCTAAAGGCACGAGATCTTCGGATTCGTCGAGAAAAGCCTTCGTTCAGAAAGTAAGGTGGTCGTAAGGCGTTACTCTTTGTCCGTCCAGGTCTGCTCGTGTCATAAGAAGAGGTGAACTTCCTTCTTCTCGCAGACCGGACACGCAACCCTGTCTCCCATCAGCGGCACCATAATTTTCAAAGTCATGTCCGTGAATATAGCCGGGTTTTCAGCCATGGTCCCCTCCGAAGCGGATAAATTCGCCACAGCGCTTCCGCGACCGATAAACACTGCATCCGGGGGACTATTCCCCACGCTGATGCGGCGGGAATGTTACCGACGATACCACTGGGATACCCTCGAGGGAAAGTTGTTAGTGGGAGACGACGCTCGTTAAAAAATAGGTCTCCCCTATCTTCCCGTATTTGGGACAAGGATTATTTGTCTGTTTGAAGGACTTCAGTCAACTAAATCTTAAGATTTAGAACGGGCCCTCAGATTAGCTGAACGTGTACTGCGGAGACGCATCGACATCTGGCAATCATCTTACTTGGGCAGGGAAGTCTTCCCTGCTCCTGAGTACCCATGACCCGCCAAGGCCCCGCAACACACCGTTTAATATCGGCATTCTGCTTATGAACTTATGGACTACTCCTATGGAACTCCAATGGGGTCCCGTACTTCCGAAGTACCCCCTCGTAAGGATTAAAATTTTAGGTTAACTTTAAAATTGACGTAGTCAATAGTAAAGCCACCATTAATAAATAAATAAATAATTATTTCATTTTAAATTTATATGTACAATTTCTATGTATATGTACAATTAGAAAATAAATAAATAAATAAAATTAAATAAATAAATAAAAGTAAATAAATAAATAAATTAAATTAAATAAATAATGAATGCTTTTATTCATCTAAAAATATGTTGCACATCTCCACAGAGCTTCTCAGTACGTTTAAAATCATTGTTTTTATATCCTTATTTGGAATCCCCATCATTTTCAAGTTATTTATAGTTTCAGATGTTACAGCTCCTCTGCTACCAAGCACCGCCGGCAGAACGGCTCCTTCATCGACGCCATATCTTTTCTTTAATTCTTTAAGACAAGACGAGTACTTATCGACCTTTTCTTTGGCTGCCTTTTGGAGATAGTCTCTATTCTCGTAGCGGATGGTAACGTCGACTACGAGAAACCGTTCCTCGTTTTTCACCACGAGATCCGGTTTAAATAGATTCTCTCTAATTTTAATAGTAGGTTCAACAAATACTTCGTTCTTGTCCTGAAGCTTTTTGACGAGGAGAGTTTTTACCTCGTCATGCCTTTTAATTCTTAAGCCCTTTGTATACTGGCATAGCCGCAAAATGTGCCCTAGGGTCTCGGGTTGGGCATGACACCTCCTGCACATTATGTTGATCTTTTTGTCAGCTCTTGCTAGAGCTACTCTAGTGCCAAAGGTATTTGTTCTCAACTTAATAGCGTCGATAAAGCGAGACGGCTTCAACAGGTGGTACTTTTTGAACCACACGTTGCCAAGTTTTTCCCTTGCGAAGTCAGCCACCCCGTAGCCTTGACTCCGTAAGTCGGCCCATTGTTTTATATGCTCGTTTTTCAGTCTCCTCTTGGCCTTTTCGATGTCCGCAGAAGTGGCGGGTCAATCCTCAGGGAGTTGACGATTGTTTATTCGACCATTACGCGGAGAGACGTAATCGCGAGGAGAGACGTCAACGGGAGTCGTAAATTCCCGTTACAATTATAACAATCGACACCACGAATTGATCGATCCCCTGATTTCCGTTGAGATAATAGGGGTGATTGAGTTTGTATAACACTGTGATTCACAGAATTATAAATAATATATTTCCAATACTTAGATTACAATGTTGAGCATAGATAAATAGATAATCACTTATCGCACGAAGATAAGATAGATATGTACGTTAGAGCATGGCTCTTATAATTGGATTTAATGTATTAGTGGAGGAAATGTATGTTCGACAATCCCGAGAACCGACTCTCGCGTTATACTTAGACTGCCATGTTAGGCGTTAGCTTTAGATTTAGTAGTTGACTTTTCCAACGATGTAGAAGAAGAGAAGTTGAGTAACGATGCTGTGTCGGAGGAAAGCTAGTGATGGGTGTGTCTAGCGCACGGGACCATCGGATTTGTTCATGCCATTTTAGGTCAGGAAGTGAGGGCAGTATACATTGCCTCGGATTGGACAAACGAAGGTTGGTGAACTAGGAAGGGTCTTAACCGCCCTCGATAGAAGTTGCTAGTAGGAAGCATCGTACGTGAGAAAAACTAACCTCCCCGTGTCAAGCCGTAGTAAACAATAGTCTTTAGAAACTGATTTAGAAAAGGCATTTGTTGGGTCTGAAGGACCTTAGCAGGCAAGTTACTCGGACTATGACGGGTGCTTAAGGCTATTGAGGGTACGCCGTACGGAAGAGCGGACATCTGGTGTCCGTCTGGCCCGCAGTGTGTGACCTGGGCCAGGCAGAGAGTCGCCCGGTGTAACAGCGATCTTTTTGAGTTTTAATTCTGTGCTCTCGTTAATTAAACTAGATGCTGCTGGATCTAGTGAATTTTTCATATTTATTCCATTCTTAAGGGTACCGCGTTTCGCAAGATGTTCGAACCTCGGTAACCCTAGTCCACCATTATTTTTGGGCGTGTAAAACAACCCAACCTCCGTAGAAGGTGTTAAATGTAGAATTGCTTTGGCTTCCTGCCTGACTTCATTGTCCAAAATTTTAAAACTCCCTCGCTAGGTAGATTAATCAATATGTTATATATGTAGCGAGGGAATATATATTTAAGCAGAAGCTCCATTTTCTGGCCTAGTTTTAACAATTGTTTTCTCACTCTTTTGATAGTACATAACATTTCTGGCATAATAATGCCGCATTGTAGGCCTCTCCACGGTCCAATTTTTGCGCCGAGATATCTGAAGGCTTCCTCGGGTGCGGGTATCCTTTTATTATTAATTTCTATCTCTGGATCCCTCACATTCCAGGTGTCCTTCTTTGAGACCACCTGGAATGTTTGGCTTTTTTCTCCAGAGATACCATAGTCATTCCACATTGATAGTTGTTTCTGAGCATCTTTACTATTTTTCCCCAATAGGGCAATGTCATCAGCAAAGGCCAAAATGGGGATCTTATTATTCTAGC